AGGGAAAGAACCAGGAAAGCAGGTTGTCCTGAGCCACAGGGCTATAATTTGCTTTATGTAAGGTGTTTTCACATTTTCCTTAAACTTTATGTCCAAGCAAACCTCGTTTCGGAGCAGGGATGTACCGACAACGCTGTAGACAGCTTGGCCTACCATACGAACAGTGAGTGTTTAGACTGAAGGATGTTTGGAGTTTGGGTTTGATTTTTTGGAGAGGACAGGGCCCAGAACTCCGGCGATATCCAAAGGTAAAAGCAGAGATGCCCGCAGGGCGGTGGGAGATGCTGTTGAGCAGGACGAGCCCGGGGCGGGCAGCTGCGGTGCAACGTGCTGCAGGGGAGCGGCTGGACGCGCAGCTTCTTAAATCATCTCTTCAAGTCTCCTGGCTTCCCTCCCAGCACTGTGAACATTTGGAAGGGGGGAGCAGAGCCTGGCTCGTTTCAGTTCTGCTCGACTCCGCTTCATGAAAATGCGAAGGCTTTGGATGACACACCGTTCTCCGGCGATGGTGCAGGCGAGGGCGGGCGGATGGGGTTTGTTGGGGAAAACCAGTGAAAATTGATTTTTCCAATACGGATTTGCTCCAGTATAACAGCCGGAGCTCTGCCTGCCCCAGGTGTCAATGCGGTCCCTCCATGCCAGGCACTATCCTTCCCTGCAGGGTGGACACCCCTCTCCATCCCCACCATGGTCCCCCTACTCCCAGGCTCTTCCCAAAAGCCAGGTTGATCCCGCGGGCAGGCTTTCAAATCACTCAGCTGCTCCGGAGACGTGCCAGCCCCTGTCGGTGTAGCCCGCCCGTAGGCAGGTGGTTTTTCTCACACAAGGGCCTCTTTCCACGAGGCGTTCCCCGTGCTCTCGCGCAGCCGCTTGTTTTATTTTAAGGGTCAGAGCTGACCCTTGTCCCTGGCACTCTCCACCGGTCCCCAGCCGGGGTGCTCCTGGGAGCGCAAAGCACCTTCCCCGTGTGTCGGACCCTGCCACAGGGTCGCCTCTATTTACAACCCGCCTGTCGCAGCGCCTCACCAGCACACGAAGACTCGATGGCACGAGAGACTGGGAAGGGACTTGTCTGGTTTTTAATAACAGCGTCAGTTGCAATAAATAAAGGGAGACAATTGTTTTGGTCTTAGTCACCTAATAGCAATGTTTTTGCTTAAAGATATGATTCAGCTTTTGCAGGCAATTCTTTACCTTAAGTTCTCCACGAGGCTTGGGAGGTGATGGCAGAGAATAAGAGTTACAGAGTCTGCGTTTCATTTGAGTTTTGATATTTAACATCCCTTCAGGTGATGTTTTAAGTAGAGAACTTAACAACAAGCTAACAAACCAGAGCACTGACACACTCGACAAATAGATTAGCCGCTCCTGGTACACAAATGAGGGTGTCTTTTCTTCCTATGTAGTGGCTCAGCTGACTAGGTTAAAAACATGTTTTTATAGCCGAGTTCCTACCATTCATTTTTTCTTTGCATACATCAGTCTCTGAGTTACAGAGCTCCATCTTCTTGTATGGGTATGTTTGATTATTACTTCTTGAGTTTAATGACAGCTTTGACAACTAACTACCACTATATTCCTTGATAAAGACAGCTTAAACCCTCTGTGCGTTCTGTAAGTGCCGCATTCAGCCTCAGAAACACCGAGCTAAATACACGCTGAACGGAGAGAGCATGAGCTTGCGAAAAATGGGGAGTTGCGAGGCCACAGGGCTCCAGCCCTTGGGCTGAGCTGGTTCCCGAGAGGTGGTCTCACTGCCAAGGTGTCAGCTTGATGGAAAAGTTGCCTATTTTGCAGTGGACCAGAAGTTTTCCCCTCGTTATTCATTGTCACGGTGTGCCGTGCAGGTTACTTTGCCTTGCCCTTTCATTCCCTGAAGTTAGACTCAAGCTGTATTTGTGCCTGGCAAATCTAGATTTTACATGAAATTCATTTGACACGCACAACATCTGAAGCATTTGAGTCTTGAATCAAGCTCCGCTTTGATTA